TCAATATGCACCTATTTACATATTATTTATATCAATTTTTTAATGGGAAGAAAGCGGTAGGAGTTACCTCAAGATTGGATTTTTATAGCCTTTAAATAGCCAGTCTCTTTAAAGACTCACTTATTTAATGTCTGTCTCCCTCGCTAGACTTAAAGTTCCTTGAGAGTAAGAACCTCACCTGTCCTTTTCACTTTTGTCTCAGTACCTAATGCATTGCTGTCACCGATTATACTCTCCATGGGGGAAATAAATTATGTGGGGAATGAATGACGGGCTATAACATCTATCAGCCGCAGCCAAAGGTGAACACACCCATGTGCTGACAGCCAAGGCAGTCAGGGCCTGAAGAAATGACAGCCTAGACTTTAGTTTCTTCCATCCTTCGCTTGCTGAAATATGACAGCAGCAGCCGCCTAGGCAGGAAGGCACACCCAAATGTCCCACCTCTGTTTCCATCAGGTAACTAGCTTACTGTCATAAGCTTGGAGTTCGCTGAGGGGATCCCAGCCAGTGCTGCTCTGATTACAATGCTGAGGACAGAGACTTGTCACTCAGAGCAATATGGGAAATCAGTGCTTGCAGGCACAGGACAAACCCAGAATGCCATTCTAGAAACAAGTATGGCTCCTTTTCTGCCCAAGTCTCCAGGGCAAATGCCAATGTCTTTACCATGCATTCATTCTTGAGAAGAAGGGCCTGCCTGCCTGAGGCAAGGTGGGGGAGAGAGCCCGCTGACTGCCTTGCATGGGTAGTGTCCCACACTCCCTCTGGCTGCAAGGACAGGCTGGGGGAGGGATTAGTGCATGAAGGCCCTGGTGCATAATGAGTTTAAGGAAAAATTAGCTTGAAAAAAAGAATCACTTAGCTCTCAAATGTCAAGTGATATTTATAGAAGTTGTGGGTTAAATTTCACTTCACTGACTTCGTCCTTTACATTGACAAGCTAGATAAGATGATCTCGTCTTAAATAATCTTTTGTGTTTAGCTATTTCTCTGGCAGTTTTGTATTACAATTTAAAAATAGACTAGCCTATGCTCACATTGGCTATGGTATTTTGAACTTGATTTCTGAGGCTGCTGACAGCTTTTGAAAGATTTAACAACTGGCAGCAAGAAAAACTCCCATAGAATCTGCTCTATGAAATTTTTGCTCTTGAAGAAAAGAAAAAGCAGCAGCATCATTTAGCAGGTAATATATTGCAATAAAAATATGGTTATGTGCTAATGGTTCATTAATATGATAAATCATAACATAACCTTTTCTATCTAATGTAAGAAGCAATTTATTGAGATAAAGACATCTTCTTCCCTATGGCGCGTACCCGTAGTTGTTGGTTTGAGAGGAAAATTTTTTATTATTCTTATTCAAAACAGTCATTTTGATTTGCACAGAAGATAACAGTTGTTCATGACATTTTTATTTCTGCATAAACAGATTTCCATTTTGGCGAAGGTTAATACAGTAGGAATTTAGTCTTACTTTTGGATATACTGTGATAGCGCTGGAGCACTTTGCTTGGTATGGAATGGCTAATTTATCCTTCATGCCTTTATGATCTTGTCAGTGCTGCATGTCTCCCTTAGTTTTTCTAATCTAAAATAATCCCAGTGAAATCCTTTGATTGTCTGTTTGGACCTGCTCCATTCCTAAAGCAGAGATGTAATGGGTTTTATGGCACTTACTTGGGAGTAATTTATCCAGCAGAGTGACTATAGATACTTGTTTTAATAAGAATATGCTTTATGGTAAGTGGGGACTGCTATTTAATTAGCCAAAGGGAAAGTAGTTCATGATACAATCTGTTCCAATCATCTTGGACATTAAACAAAAAGTCAGGCTAAGTTATTTATGTACACGCACTTTATTTGTAGTTGCTTTGAGCAAGCCTCTTCTCTGAAACTTTATTGCGTTTTCTGAGTGAGCTGAATTGTGGGGGGCAGAGTAGGGGAAGAAAAGGACACGAGAGCATCCCGTAAAATTTTTGAAAAAGAAACAGAAGGTTTACTTATTGCTATCAAGGTTGTGAATACAGGCAGACCAAATGGAAAACAGGCAGAGAACTATGATTTATCTTCTGCCATTTGGTACTTTGCATCTTTAGTGCAGAGCTGATGGGGAAATGTTGCAAGATGTTAGCAAAGCATTATGGGATTGTGTGTTTGTGAACAGGTTGTGTGTGTTTCTTTCTCGGGTCTTTCTTTTGAATTTGTATTGACCTTAGTAGAAATGTGTGTCTAAAGGGTTGCAATTATAGTCCCCTATAGGTTATTGTAAAGAAATAAATTAAATTTAGGACTTTTCAGGAAGAGCTACTCCTTTTTGGTGTCGCTGCGGTTAGAGGTCTTGGAGTTGGCTCTAAGTCAGGGTGACTCTGTGTGCAGCAGAGGGGAACCCCACTCCTTTTCCCTTCATCCCCCCCAATCATTACCATGTCCAATCCCATTATTACAGCTCCTGTGTCAATCATCTTACTGATGGACTTCCTCAGAGTTGCCAACTCTTTACCATGTCTGACGTACTTCTCCAGGGACTGGTCCCTTCTGATAACATGCCAAGTATATAAGATGAAATCTCTCCATCCTGGCTTCTAAGAAGCATTTTATCCCAACAGATTTGTACATACTTCTAGCAGTTACCCATATATTCAGTATTCTTCACCACATATTCATTGTCTAGCTTTCATAAGAAATGAAGTCATTGAAAACCCCATGGCTTGGGTCAGATTCCCCTAAGTTTTCAAAGTGACATCTCTGTTTTTTCACATTTTAAAGAGATCATTTGCGAAAGCTATATTTGCCCCTGTATCATTTGATTTCCTGACGGAGGTGTCCGTGAACATTGATTGCAGATCTACGTAAAAGGGAATCCTGGAAAACCTCCATATTTTCTCCCCATGATGTTGTTAACTGGCCTACCTCGGAGGGCTTTTGCTTTTTGATGAAGTGTAAGCCAGATTGAATGTTGTAGTTCTTTGAGCAAAATAGATCACACAGAAGCATTCTCCCTTGCCAATAAAATTATAATGATAGTTTAAAGTAGTGTTTGTTGCAAATTGCCTTACATTTTGAATAGAGAAGTAATTGATGATTCAAAGGAATGTCATCCATATATTTAAAGATAGATTTTAAAGAAACAAAATGGAAGCATGTTTGAGACTATAGTCTAGGATGTCAAATCAAAGTTCTTGACTCACTGTCTTTGTATCTACCTCTCCATTTACTCTCCCTTCCTAGCATGTGAACTTTTGAGTCACTTATTGTACATGCATGAACCATGGGGCTGGCATGTGGAGGTATTCCTGCTTTTTACTCTCATGTCCTTGAGACTAGAACACTTACGTTCTACGCGTGTATTCCCTGTGTGCCCCTTTCCAGATTCCAATATTTCAGACAGGATCATTTGAGGTAATATTTGTATCTTTGTAAAGTGAATTTCTAGTGTAAGTTAGCATTTATCATATATACTCGTGTCTAAGCCAAGTTTTTCCAGCACATTTTTAAAATTCAGTTTTTGAGGTAAAATTAGGTGCCTAGGCTGATATTCGAGTTCGCTTTTACTCGAGTATATACGGTACTTGAAAACTCCTTATACATAAGGTTTGGATTGTAATTGCATCTGCACATCTTTGCACACGGCCTTCCAGAACAGGTCACTAGGGTCAATGCTCCATAAGTCAGCATGGTCTAGGGAGGGGTCCTCTGCAGCCCTTGGTGGGATGTAGCCTTCTACTCCTGGTTCCTATGTCTCTCTGGTATTTTGTCTGTAGTGTGTACCTGACAGCAGCTTCTTGATTTTTCAAACTGGATTTCCAGCAGTAAAGTTTAAACTAATGGAGTTTAAATCCTGAAGTGTGTGCCAGCTACATAAGGGCTCACTTTTGGCACAGGTGCACCATCACTGTGTGGCACCCACACTAGTGTCATAAGGAGAATGCTGGGCACAAAGGAACCTGAGTGACCATCCAGGGAATCAGTGTGAATGTTGCCCTCCATAAGCAAGGATGTGACTTTCATATAATTTCCATTTTGAATTGAGTGTGTGTGTTTCACCATTAGCACAGTTACTCCTTCCCCCTCATGTTCTCCTGGGAAAAACTTTTCAGCTGCCTAGGCAAAATCCCCAAGGAGAGAGCCAAGTTAAGTCATACCCCAGACAGCTTGAGGAGGGTGGAAAAGGTTTGGGAGTAATTTCTGGTTTTAGGACTGACTGCACAAAGTTCTGGCCATCAAAAAAAAAACAAACAACAGAAAACACAAGCTGTGGTCCCCATTGGAGGAAAATCTCTGAGAAAGGAGAGCTTGGCTCAGCCCGTGTTCGGTATTTTTAACCTAAGAAGACCGAAAGGAACTACTTAAGTCCGAACTTTCCTTCAACTCTGTGGTCTCAAACACATCCCTCCGTCAGTTGGAAACTTGTCTGACATGTGACAGTGTGCAGAGCAAGTTAGCCACTCTACTTCTTCCTCCTGAAGATGTGTAAACAGCTGGTGCGTGCGATCCCCTGGCTGGTGGGAAGTAAATGCACAACTGATGTTAAACAAACATAGGCCTGTACCCGGAACTCAGAAAATATTGCGTATACAACATGACATAGAGCCTAGCCTGGGCCATTATCACTTCAGGTGGTCAATGTCAAGGTTTAGGACATCAGAGACAATAATTCTTTAAAAAATATGCTGCCCACTCCCTTAGAATTATTTAGGTCCTTTCACTATAGTTTTATTAGCAAAGGATCATAAAAACTAAGATGGCATTGAGTTAAGTCCAACTCATGGTGATCCCCTGTGATTCAGAGTAGAATTATGCTCCATAGGGTTTTCTTTCTTTTTTTGTTTAATTTTAATTTTACATTAATTAATGGCAACAAATTGTTGCAGAATCCCCCTACTTTAGACATAATTCTGCATAGCAGCATTTGTTATTTCCTAATTATTTCACTAGACAGTAATCTTGAACTTGAACAAAGACCCCTAGAGTACCAGCCATATACAGACATTCAGACTTATCACCAGCATTGATAAAACCAGGCTCAGGGAAAGAACTTGGCCTGAGACACATGCATGGTCTTATTATAGTGAATGTTCAGCCTGCCCTGGCTACCGCACAATCAGGACAGCGAGAATATTCCATAGGGTTTTCAAGGACTGATTTGGGGGAAGAGTTTTACTAGGTCTTTCTCCAACTTCTGACCTTCGGTTAGCAGCCAGTGCAGTTATCCATCGCTCCATCATGGAACTTCCTCGCCACGTCATACAGATATTTAAAAGAGGAAAAAGAAAAACAGTGTGGTTATCTCATTGTCCCTCAAGTTTTATTGGTTTTCAACTCTCAAATTTGGATTCAAGAGCCATGTTATTTATAGACTTACTTTGACAATCAACAAAACATATTTTTTTAGCTCCACCCATGTTTACAACTCATTGGCATGAATATGAAATCAGCGTGGAAATCAGAGAGGATATGAGCTCATCTGTCACCTCTGCTTTTCTCATAGCAGGCACTTGGTTTTCAAAACTCTTGGCTCTTTAATACAGACTCCAGATGCATGGTGAAGGCATCCGGGCAGATGCCCGGTTCATCAGGTGACACTTCCGGAAGAACCGGAGTGGCACCCAACTGAGTGATAAGGACAGTGACTTAAACACGTCGGCTCTTTCTTCAGTGCAGTTTCATTCTTGCTGACTGTGAGGCTGAACCGGCCTCTGTCTTTTTTATCTCGTTCCATGGTCACCACGCAGTCAATCTGTTGACAAAATGAACTGAGAAGTGTAAAGTGAAACTTTACATTGGACCATTGTAAAATGTAATAGGAATGGAATAGATGGGTTTTCTCTCTGTTATCAACCTTGCCACACTGGAAGCTCTGGAGACATTCAGGGTCTACGAAAAGTAGAGTGGATATCTATGGCTGTACTGAGGTATGTATTTTACATCTGTCTGTTCATCCTGCCGTGCTGCCTTGTATGTTGCTGTTAAAGCTGGAAAGCATGTCACTTTTTTTCACATAACAGCAAGGTCACTTGCGGAGGACAGGGCTTTGGGAAGACAGATTAGGAAGAAAGGCCTGGTGACATTTTTTTGAAAATTAGTCAATGAAAACATTAGGAGTCAGACAGAATATTTCTTATATAGTACCAGAAAAAGCTGTAAAGCATGCAAAAATGTAATAACCACAAAAATGAACTTGAGCCTACCGGTGATCATGAAGTTGGGGACAGGACAATGCAACATTCCACTCAGTAGACTTGTGTCAATTCAGAATATGTGTGCATTCAAGGTGACCTAATGGTAAATAACAGAAACATACTTATCCTACTAATCATAGTGCTTCTGGTAAACCCCAAACCAAACCCACTGCCTTTAGGTCAATTCTGATTCTGTGACTATGAATTTTTCTAGAAACCTCTTTTTTATGGTCTCCTCTTTGTTCTGCAGAGCAGCGAGTGGGTGTGCACCTGACCTGTGGTTCATACTCCATGCCTAGCTCACAGTGCTCACGTGGGTCCTCGATGGTTCTCACAGTGTCTGGCTCTCTTTTGTCGTTCTGATTAGACAACAAGCTCCTCTTGGGAAGATCTTATGCTTTTGTTTAGCTTTTTTCTTCTTTTATATCCAGTAACTTCGACACATTCTACAAGAAAGATGCTCAATAACTAGTTAACCATGAATGAATCATGAATGAATGAGTTTTAAATCCTGTGTTTTAAATCTTAGTTGTCCTTTCTCTTTTACCAGAGTCTTTCTACAAGCCCGATATAAGCTCTCCCACAGAAAGGAACTCCCAAAAAGAGAACTGAGTTATAATCACATTTAAATAAAGTTCAGCCGGAAGTTGATGACTTAAGAGAATTAGCTAGCATTTACCTGCACACCTTAACAATAATTTGCAACTTGTATCGGTGAGTGAGTTTCTAGTCTTCTTGGTTATAAAGCCTTAAAATAGATTTCCTGAGTTTTTAAAAGGAAAAACAGAAGTATAAAATATGGACATTGAAGACATGAGTGTTTATATTTGTATTGTGATTGGTAATCATATTTGTAAGGTTATCTATGCTCAGTTTGTAAGATGATCGATCTAGCCACAAGACAGATGTGCTTTCGAAGACAAACCAGGTGATCCCTTTATAGAAAGTCACAACCTTGCAAATTCCATAAAGCAGCTCTACTCTGACCACCTGGGGGTCACCACGAGGCAGAATCAACTTGGGACCAGCTAAAAGCATGCTAAGTTCCAAGTTTATGCCACTAAATCCCAGTCTTTGTGATTTGGTAAAGCATTTCATGGTTGCTTGTTCTGGAAAAACAACCAAAATAAGCTGTTGTAATGGCCTGTTTATGAAGCTGTTCGAAACAATATTTTTAAACTTTAATTCCTTACAAAGCACCCTTGTATCCATTACTTTCTTCCTCTCACATCAGCCATAGGACATGGGATATTAACTCTATTTTGCAGGAGGAGCTGAGGTTCATGAATTCATTCATTCAGTCCTTATCAAACTTATATGGAACACTAACTATAAGTGAGACGCCAGTGTTTGGGGGTATAAAAAGTTTAAAATGTTTCCCTCAAATCACTCACCTCCTAGTTGAGGCAATATACAAGCTGCAAACTCAGGAAAACAGGGTTCCTGTACTGGGAGCTGAGTTTTAAAATGCTCGGTCTAGGCCCTCATTTGATTGCTCTCCTTTCCATGGGACAAGACATCCATGAGGCTGCTCAGAATTTGAAAACACCCCTCCTTTCCTCCCTCCCTCCCTCCCTCCCTCCCTTCTAGACCACATGCCAGCTACTCACAACCCAGAATTACTCCTTCAATGAGGAATCCCCCTTCTTCTCAGGCTTGTTTAAAACCTCCTCACCATTTTCATCACCCCCTTCCCTTCAAGAGGCATCCCACCCACTCTCAGTCCCAAAAACAAACCAGGGAAAGTTATTTCCTTGTTGTAAGGGAACTTGGTGGACAAAATGTGGATGAGCGAGATGAGGTGTTCATATGTATCTTCAGAAAAACCCTCAGGGTTCAGGAGAGAGAGAGCCCATGTTGGAAAGAGAAGGGTGGAAAGTACCTGCAAAAGCAGGTCTCATAAGAAGGAGACAAAGAAGTCCACCACCACAGTGCTACCTGTGGTTCTGATGTGTAGGATGATACCGGCAAACAGACAGTTCTCCGCAAAGACCAAAGGATGTCCAGCCCAGCTGGTGAAGGAGATATTAGCAAAGGTTCTTGGAGAAAAACGTGAATCATAGAAAGACTGGATTAGTAGCATGCTTTGAGGCAGAAAAAGAAACGAGGGCATTCTTAGTAGAAAGGGCAAAAAAGGTATATTCAAAAACAGAAAAGTAAGAGTACTCCTACATGATTGAAGAAATTAAAAGGGAAAGACAGTAAGTTCGAGGAAAAATTGGACAGTTGTTGGTTTTTGACTGCCAGCATTCATGCACTTTGTATGGTGTCAAGGACCGGTTTTTCTTTGAAAGGAATGATTTCTCTGCTGGATACCACTGGGCAAGACTAATTGGATGCCCTCTGTCATACGCGAGAAAGAACAACAACAACAACAACAAACAAATGAGGAAAAGTTGAAACCGCTGAAGCGCCTGTGCTTCAGATGCATCCCCCACGTGGAACATGTTCCAAACCCTTGTGTGTTTCTGAAGCAGCCTGGTGCCCACCTGCATCAAGCCTGTGTCTATTTCCCCACCCACCCACCCACCAGCCCCTATAGAGCAGTGGTTCTGCACCTTCCCAATGCTGCCACCCTTTCAGACAGTTCCTCATGTTGCGGTGAACCCCAACCATAACATTACTTTTGTTACTACTTCTTAACTCTCATTTTGCTACTGTTATGAATCAAGTGACCCCTGTGAAAGAGTCGTTTGACTCCCAAAGGGTTTGGGACCCATAGGCTGAGAACCGCTGCTATAGTCTATCAATGAAATTGATTTCTGGTTTAGCAAGCCATAGTAGGTGTCAGCTGATTGAAATTAAAGATCCTTGGCTGACATTGGAGGAGCACATGGTCCTGATTATTCAACCATCATCCACTGCCATTGACTAAATCCCCACGCACAGTGACCTTATTGAGAGTTTCTGAGGCTATACACTTTACAGGAGCAGAGAGCCTCATTTTGTTCCCCTGTGGAACAGTTGGTGCATTTGAACCATTGACCTTGTGTTTAGCAGCACATTTACCTGACTCTGATAACAGGGCTCTTCAATGAGCCTTAAATGCTATGATTAGGAATTTGCATTTTGTTTTGAAGACAATGAAGAATAACATCAGGTGTACAAAGTGAGTGAAATGGTTTGTGTAGATAAAATGTTTCATCAGTCTAAATTACCAATGTCTGAAGGGTTATAAATGCTCCATAGAGGTAATAGGAGATTACCTAAAAACATTTGTGAAAGAAAATTCTATTTTCATTTTTCACAAATTGTTGAAGCCCCCCGACCCCTTGCTAAACAAGTGACATATGTAGGAGCAACAAAAAATTGGTAGCTACTATTGATCTTCATAATATTGCTGAAGTAACTATAATTACCCAAAGAATTTATTGTTGCTCATGAAAAACTGAATATTGAGTTCACATCTCCCTCTCTACTTTTTAATACCTGGAACATGAGGCAACAATTCTGACCTAGATAAATCTGCTTAAACCCAGAAGGGTAGCCCTGTGTATGCTTGCTTCCTTGTGCTTTCCTAGCATTTGTATGGGCTCTTTACAAGAATATTCATCATAGATTCACTTAGAATTAGCTAACTGAAAAGGACATTTTAATTTCTAATTAAATGCCATCGAGTTGATTCTCACAGTGACCCAATGGGGTAGACTTGACCCTATAGGGAAGAGTTGATGCATTTGAATTATGTTGCCAGCAAAGAATACTGACAGCATCGTGGACTGCTGAAAGAACAAATCTGTCTTGGAAGAAGTACAGCCAGAATGCTCCTTAGCGGCAAGGATGGTGAGATAGGGTCTCAAGTACTTTGCACATGTTGTTAGGAGAGACCAGTCCCTGGAGAAGGACATCAGCTTGGGTAAAGTAGAGGGGCAGGGAAAAGAGGAAGACCTTAGACGAGGTGTTTTGATCTTGTCTAGATCCATGGGCTCAAATATTATCAAGCGG